AGATTGGTTTGAGAAATTTGAAATTAAAAAATGTAAAATTGAACATGGTGATAAATGCATTAATAATATAACAGATTTTGATCTACCTCCCATTTTAAATATGTACATAAATAATATCAAACATCCAAATAATTAATCTAACCATTTTAATTGATATTATTTTTATAGTAATTTATAGTAATATTAAGTATTTATTATTCTAATATTTATTTGTGTTATAATTTCCGCGCTTCGCACGTTCAAATTGAGCGTCATTAAAAAAATCAGCTGATAATTAGAACGTCGCGTTGGCGGAGGTATCAGAGGTTCACTTTGGCAATTCATGTCGAGAGACGTGGTTGTAGAAGTCCTTCAACCTGATGATGAGCTAAAAGGCTCGAAATCCGGATCGTTGCAAAAACAACTTACTGTGAGTAGGAACTATCCTTTTAAAAAGTATAGAATCTACATTGGAAGTTACGATCAAACAGTATAATTATTAAAAGTGTTCATTCTTTTTCGTACCAGACTTGAAAGCTTATTTCGTTTCTCCATCGTAAACGGTTTTTGATTAGCGGATGAAAATACAAGAACAAACCTTCTGGTTCTAACGTTTTTCTTCATTATAAATTTCAAATTAATGCACTTGCTAGGAAGTTGCTGAAAGGAACGGGGTTTCTAAGTGCCAAAGGATCATAAGTAAAATTGGAAAGAAAAGAACAAAAGAAATATTAAGACTAAACAGTCAAGTTGTACTAACCAATTAATGACAAATGATTTGTTGTTGAAACAATTGATTTTACTTAGCATAAACACCGTCAAGGAAACAAGGATTACCCCAATCGAATAATCATTCGTCGGATATTTCAAGTTGGAGCTTGTAATCACTCCTCCTTTGTCTTAAAATGCATTTTCCATTTTTCAAAGAAAGTTAAGAATATTGTAGCCATCGACCCTGAAACCGCCAGACAGAAAAACTAGATGAAAGTAGTAAAGGTTTCCACTCGTCGCAAACCGCGACGGACGGGGTTTAGAATGTATACGTAATTTAATGTCACGGTGAAGAACTGAGTGGGAAGAATGAAGAACGGAGTTGGACTTTCTTTGACAAACGCAATTGTGCATCTTTCAAATGCATGGTCAGACCACCCTGAACGGTCACGGTTACAAGAAAGAAGAAGAAAGCAAAAAAAAAGGAAGTTGTTATAGATTGTCCTTGTAGAAACATTAGCAAATCCGTAGTCAAATATTCATCCTTAATTGACTTTTTGATTCTATAACTTCATTAAATTTACTCGACCAAACTTTTATTCCATCCTTCGATTTTTGTAATTGATTGTCTAAAAGCCATTGTCGACTCTGATTTGGACTTCAAACACCCAACATACCAAAATTGAACTCTTACGGTTTGTAAAAGTCCCAAGATAGCAGTCATGAAAGAAAATTTTGCTTCAAAATCAATAATTTATCGAGGAAAAATAAAATATGCAATTTCGAATTTGTATTTTTGCATTGGATCAAGGCAAACCAGAGGTTTATTAACATAAAAAAGCACGCCCCCTGTGCTTGTCGTACAACATTGAAATTTATTATAATTTTTTATTTTAAACTTGTTACTAATTAGCAATTACTGTTTTAGCTTTAAAAAAACAACAATTTGTCTGTATAAAGAGTTTAACATCACAATTAGCCCAGTATGATCGGCGCTACACATTGCACGCACAGAAAAATTTGTAGAAACAAGGAGAAATGAGGGATGCCTCGCCTTCCTTATAACCTTAAGGTCCCATTGTTTTCTTTAAAGCTTTTTTCGGTTAACGATTATTTATTCAAGGATGGCACACACCTTCGTATTTACTTCAATAAGACGCCAATGAAGAAAAGCACTGGTGATCGTGTGAAAGCGAACAGAGCTTTTATAATTTGTAGAAACAAGAAAAAATGGGGGATACCTCGCCTTCCTTATATATATATAAAGTGAAAGGTTTATGGGCCGACAAACAGATGAGGTCATCGCCGGCCCTCCGCGTGTATTACTTCTATTTCCTGTCTTTCTCGCGTATTTTGTATTGAACTGCAGCCATTTGAGCATTTCGATCTGGTTACTGAGTCTCTGCTTTTACTGGTATATTACGTCGTTATTTTAAAAAGCTAGCCTCTTGCTAGTACCTCAGGTTGTCAATTTAAGAATAGATACATAATGTATATTATATCGCCACAAACATAGAAGTCTGGTCACATTCACTCCCCCAGAGTACTCGATATTCCTCGGGGCGGGGTTGAACCCACTCCATTCGCGCTAATAACTTACTTTTACACTCCAGACGTCACACACTCACCCCAGAGTACTCGATATTCCTCGGGGCGGGGTAAATAACCCCTTCCTTTCATGCTTAAATTACATTCATTCCAACAGAGTAAAATATAAATCACATACAATACTAATATAAAAGTCTGGTCACATTCACTCCCCCAGAGAACTCGATATTCCTCGGGGCGGGGCCGAACCCACTCCATTCTCGCTAATAACTTACTTTTGCTCCCCACACATCACACACTCACCCCAGAGTACTCGATATTACTCGGGGCGGGGTTATACGCAACCCCTTCCGTTCACGCTAATAAATTACTTTTACTCTCCAGACGTCATACACTCACCCAGAGTCCTCGATATTCCTCGGGGCGGGGTTATAAGCAACCCCTTCCTTTCACGCAAATAAATTACATTCATCCTAATGTATTAAAATAAACACCCCACAAACACGTCACAAACACTTCAGACACAACACAAGCACAGCACAAACACACATAAACTATATACATTTGAAGATCCCTTTAGCCCTGAGGTCCCGGTACAGCCATTTGTGCCCGCTGCCGTGCCCCAAGACTACGCACAGGTCCGATGATATTCCAAAATATTGCCTATAAACGTCGAGCCTTCTACAATTGAAAAGGTGCTCGACTGTTACTCTATCTTTGCATAATGGCACCTTTGCGGTCGCTTTCCTGCTAGAAGGTGCCCGTGTGTAATCCTTGTATGACCTAAGCGTAGTCTTGTCAGTATGACCTTTTCCCTTTTTGACCCATTTTCCGTGAACCAGAGACCGACGTCTTTCTTAACCTGCCACAGTTTGGCAGGGTTATTCCTATTTTGCCGAGCCCAACGGTTTTTCCATTCTTCTTTTATTGTATTTGAAATTAATAACTTGAGATCCGCTGGGCGTATTTGTTTGGAAGCGTCGTGGGGTCCTCTGGCTGCTTCTTTGGCCGCCCTGTCTGCTGCTTCGTTCCCGGCTATCCCTATGTGGTGGCTTCCTTATAACCTTAAGGTCCCATTGTTTTATTTAACACTTTTTTCTGTTAACGATTATTTATTCAAGAATGGTACACACCTTCGTATTTACTTCGATAAGACGCCAATGAAGAAAAACACTGGTGATCGTGTGAAAGCAAACAGAGCTTTTATAATATAAAATATTATTTTCTTTATCTCTGGGAGCATAATTTTTAAAATTAGTAGATTTTTTAAATTCTTTGATATTAAAAAACCTTATTAACAATAAATAGTGTGTAAATATTTGCTTCAACCTACACTTATTAAATCCCTGGCTTAGATAAAAAGCTCGTTTCTAGGCAATGCTATATTTCTTTAAAAGATGACAGCCTGAAAACTACTAGGATGTGAAATTAGGCTAATAAGAAGTTCTTACTTCCAAACTGCAAATAACAACGTATTCATTTTTTTAAAATTATTATTATTATTATTATTATTATTATTATTATTACTCTTCTAGGCAAATCTTAGATTAACCGGTAAATCGATGCTCTGCAAAGACACATCATGCAACTAGCAATCTTGTTCTTGTTTAACGTCATACTTATTTAAACGAATTGATACCATTTGTAATTAAGAAAACTAAGCTTTATAATAATAAGCTTTACGAAGTCAATGTTATTTTACTAGATCGTTCGGGTTCGACACAGAGGAAATTCCTAGAAAAGAAAGTACCTTATTGCTTCAACCACCTTGTAACCTGCGGTCGAATTGTTTTTATGGTAACACATATTTGTTGTAGTTTGATCATTTCTCCGACCATTTTGGTCTGCTTATCCTTCTTACCATTTTGTTTTAACAAAATGTGTAAATATATATTCATCTTTGTTGATGAATATTTCCCCAGGCACTGTAGCCTACTGGCTTATTGTACCTTCCTGGTTCCCTAGTTCAGTCAATAGACTCAATCCTCCTTCTCAGACAGGTCATTGACTGTCGTTGCTACAATTTCATTCCCTGGATTTTTTGTATCCTAGGTTATGTCTCCATTGAGGCGTTGCTTCGCATTCGAAGATGATATGGGTGGCTGTTTCTTCCTTCCCATTGCATAATATGAAAATGGGATCATCGTTGAATATGCCCATGTTATGTTACTTCTCCGCATTTGGCCCTCAATTGCAGCTGTGAGTTTGCCAGTCTTGGTGAGGGTTGCTTTATGTTTATGTTGGGTTCATCTTTGTTAACCGTGAAAATGATTAATTATAGTTTCATAATCCTCATGACGGGAATACTCGAAAGCACAAAGGAAGAACGGCACATTCCAGTCATAACTTTAGAAATAGTTTAAACATAAGCAATTGAAATTTTTTCACATTTAATCATGATTTATATTTAAAAAAAAATTAAAAACGAGCACCATACATTCTGATCATCATTGTTATTGTTTGTTCTCAATAATTTGTTAAAAAAAACCTTTGATATTTTTGTCTTACCCGATTCCGTTTCGAATATAAAAGTCACTTCCTCGGCTTTCCTAACTTCAGTCAAAATGTTGTCGATAGCTCTTAAATAAGGAGTAAGGCCGTTTTCAATTTTAACATAACCCACTCCGGAAGGTTCGCAAATTGATTTCAACTCTTCAAATCCAGACCATGTCAAATCCACTACGGCCCAAACACCTTCGTTAAGAATCTCACACACTGGAAAGAAATTAAAATTAAAATATGTGTACGCATAATGCATATAAAATCACAAGGTTACCGTTTATTCTTGTGGTGTTTGTGTCCTCTGGGTCAACTATAATTTCTTTTTCTTCGATCAAACTATTGTCAAGTGAAGGCCAGTAAGTCACGTCATATTCTTTTAAAACCACTGTTAAAAGAAAGCCTATTAGTCTAGGTCATTATAATTTTGTTACAGCCAAAAATTTCGAGTTCTTGGCTTATCATTAATTTTTATATCCATATTTTATTTTTAAATTGTGGTTATAACATAAACAATAGGTAATATTAATAATGTTATTAATTGCAATAATGTGGCAATTTAAATTCCTCAGGATGCTTTAGGGCTATTTCCATATTTTCAGTTTGTTTTAACTATTTTTTTTGCGAGGGTTTGCAACAGCAGAGGTTATATCAGCCCTCGGGGTGGCGGTGTTTTTGAAAAAAAGCCCATTTGTAAGTATGTCGGGTTCGAATGCAGGGCCGCTGGATTCGAACCCGGGACCTTTACCTTACAGTGATGAGCGCCGTGTCAACGCCTAAGGGTGGATTTATACAGGCACGTAAAGGGAACGTAAAGAAAACGAGCCGAGCCAGTAACGAGTCGTTGGAAACTTTGATTTCTTGCTTTTCAATGGAAGTGTTTATACAAAGACGATGCCCGTGCGATTCCCGGCAGATTCCCACTCAGTTGTCGTCGCCAACGATTCTGCTGAGGTTGTGGTTCAGTACTCGTCAGTGTTCTGTTGAAAGAATTCGTTCGTTTGTTCAGGTAATCAATGCAAAAGTAGATGGACGAACATTAGAGATCATTTTCGAAGATATATCCAAAAGCGGACAGGCTGCTGAAAACAACACCAAAAAATAAAATATGAAGATCAATTGAAGTTTCTATTGTCCTATTCAAATGACAGAGACACACTAACAAATGTTCCAGTGCAAGAAACATCAGCACTAACTGAACAAATAGAGGCAATGGAAGAAACATCCTCAGAAGAGCCTAATGATGCTGAAACCAACCAACCCCAAAACTCATCATCGGGAGGATATTCCGAGGTCGCAGCAAAGTGGGAAGAACTCGTTCCAAACGTCTCGTCTCAGTACTCCCAAAACTGTTTCAATACAAATTCAACATCAACAAACGTAGCAAGCATGAATAACAACAGTCCAGATAGAGATTCACTTTGGTCGTCTTGTCACTGTGATCAACCTTTCATCGTACAACCCGCAGCTGCAGATAACTCTCTTCGTGAATATTTCAACAAGTATCCCTAGTTACATTAATTTTAAATAAGTGTTGTAGAACTCATACTATTACCAGAACGGATAATGTGACATAAAATATTCAAAAATGTTTTGACATTAGACTTTTATTTCTACCTTAGACACACAGTTAAACGTTCCTTTGCAGTTATAGACTCCTTCCAGTTTGTGTTTTGTTTTTCGATGAGCGGTTTTTGTTGAGAAGCAATTCAAATGTTGAGCTATTCATCCTAAAATATTTAAAAAATTGCGATCGTGTGGAATTAATTGTTTGAAGGTTTAAATTCCGTGCGTTCTGCGGAGTTTCCATGCTGGGTGGACACTCCACATTTTCTTCGTTTTCTTCGTAGGAGTCCGTTTCGCCTCATCCTCCAACAAAACTGCTATAGTAGCCAAATTTTCAATCGAAAAAATGGAACTGCGACATGCTTGCAACAACGCAACTTGATCACAACTGAACAAAGTATGGCAATTCATGTCACGGCCACTTTACGTACATGCATAAATACAAGCCTCCAAAACACAGACTCGGCTCGTTCTCTTCACGTCCCCTTCACGTGTCTGTATGTATAAATCAACCTTAAACCGTTGCGGCCACCGATGCCGCTAATTACTATTATAAACAAGTTTTATGTTTATATATATATATATATATATATATTATATTATGTTCAACCGAAAAAAAATATATCCCAATTTATTGTTTTCTGGTAGGTCCAAAATAAAAAGTTTAGTTTTGTTTTTACTGATAACCGATTTATATAAGATCAAATCTACACATGCATGTTTGAGAGCACACGCGTGGGCAGATCACTTATGCCTATCACTTATCCCAGTCCACTGGCAATTCCAGCTTTTGTAAGTTACATAAATTGCCCTGAGAATCACCCACCCCGGGTGCTGTCTGTCAGATGTCTGTATTATCGGACCAGCCGCTGAGGTTGGGCTCCACGTGTTACGAACAGCTAGGTCATTTCAGCCCCAACGCAATCAATTCTTATGAGTTCAGAAATTTGACCATCCCAAACCTAGACATCGATGTCATATGGTAGGTAAGCTTGCAAGTATTATCTACGCTTCTAAGCAGATTGTAAGACGACTGAATAATGCCAAACCGTTTGAATTAGTTCTTACGAAATTGATCAGCTAGTTCAACTACGATACTAAAAATATGTGGTGTTGAGGGGCCGTTAGTTAATGATTATTCGGAGATCGAGAGATGCGGTCTGGTGTGACGTAGGTTTTAGAAAAACATTTTCTTTCTCGGCCTAACGTTTCGATCTTTATTGAGATCATCTTCAGGGCTCAAAGTGTTTGTTTTCCGTGTAGATGTGTCGTTCTTGTGTGTGTTGAGAGTGCCAGTGAGATACAGTACACCGAAAACAAACACTTTGAGTGAGTGCAAATACTTTGATTGAGTCTAAAATTTTGAGCATTGTATAAATTCACTTTTTTTCACATATTACATATATTTGTATAATTTAAACCATGTTTCTAAATCCCAGACCCTGAAGATGATCTCAATAAAGATCGAAACGTTGGCACGATAAAGAAAATGTTTTTCTAAAACCTACGTCACACCAGACCGCATCTCATGATCTCCGAATAATGATTAACTAATGGTTACCAAACACCACACACGAATTTTTTAAGCCCAAAAACCCATTTGTAGTATGCTGGATTCAAACCCGGGACCTTTACCTTACAGTGATGAGTGCATAAACCGTTGCGGCCACCGACNTGAAGATGATCTCAATAAAGATCGAAACGTTGGCACGATAAAGAAAATGTTTTTCTAAAACCTACGTCACACCAGACCGCATCTCACGATCTCCAAATAATTACTAAAAATATATTAAAAACACAAACATTCATCTTAAAGTACATAACTTCTTATAAAACATACTCTATACAACTTTATCAAGGCCACACCATTTTCTACAACCAAATAAATATTGTACATAATTTTTAGTAGAATAACAATTGATTTTATCGTTTTCAAAACATACAAAACGCATTGAAATAGTGTTTTTTTAAATTTTACACTAATTTTCAGAAGAACACTTACGAATTTTTACGGGTTCAGCTTGTATCATCATGATGACGTGAAGAAAGATATACTCCTTTATGTATCTCATGATTTCCGAAACAAATTCTTGTCAAAAAAAGTAAAAGCTGGATCGGCTAGATATTAAAAAAATATCATGAAACTATATTTAAAACTCAATAAAATCATAAATATATCATTTAATATTTTTAAACGTTAAAAAACACAAATTCGATAGATATTATTCTGGTATGACATAAATTCAACGAGTGTTAGTTATTAGCTGCACACTATTAGTCTTTATTTGGTTTATGTAAAGCAATATAATGTAATATTTAATCTTGATCTCTTTTGAAGAAAAATGGTTTTCTATTTATGTTTAGATTGTATATCTTTGAAAGAAATATGTTATTATCATTACCTAATAAAATTTTTTACTGTTGCTGTACAAAATTTTATTATGGACAATTAAAGTCTACTAAGTAATAAAAGTTAAACGAAACTTGGGCTCTACTAGTTTTTTTTAGGAGACATTCGTTTTGAAATTGTTACACACATAAATATTACCTTATTCTTTAAAACTTATATTTTAATTTTCATGTTTATTGTTCACAGAAAAATTGTTCACTGACACACGGTGTACGAAGATGTCCCGGAGGCCTAAATATTCTTTTTCAACTGGGAAAACGTTTCATGTCGCCTTGTGATTTCATCATGAATAATTGATAATGAGAATCAAAGCAAATGGTGCCATATGATTTTCAACGCTGGTTTTTTTATTGATTGCAAACCCTTTTTACGAAATTGAAGTCAATATAGCAACGTAATGATTAAATGAAGCCCCTTTTAAACATTTCTTGCGTATTTTGTTTGGTTTAATGATTAACGTTTTAAATCAAAACTTTTTTTAATGATCAATCATTGTGATTGAGGATTCTTTACTGTTTTCTGAAAAATGAAACTGGTTCAATCAAATCCTTTTTCAAACTCGACAAACATAGATTTAACATTATAAATCGTTTTCCAATAGTTGATAAAAATGGAGCCATTGTCTTGGAAGCCTTAGAAAACTTCACAACTTGCCATTGACTACCTTTTGTGTCTGGAAAACTCAATTTCCACCAACTATAGTCCCTTAATCAAGCCTCAGTATTTTTTTTTTTTGACGAAATTTAAAGAACGTGGAGCAATTGTAAATTTTATCTAAAGATCCTAGTAGAACCATTGAGAGCATCGGGAAAAACAAACGGAAATCCTAGTTTTTGCCACGATTTAATCAACCTTTCTTTAGAAGATTAACTGGCTTTTAAAGCGTTTAGTGCACTTTTTAAGAAGGAGGGATATTGCGTAATGCTATCCCCCTCGGAACCGTTTTTCCTCTGGCAATCTTCTTCCAAGCTTCCTGTCTTGAGCACCTTCAATTATGAGGACTTTGAGTGTGGTAATTACCTCTCTCTTTTTTTAATATTTTCACTCCCAATGACAAATTTTGATGTGGTACTTTCTTTCTTATATAATATTCTATTTCTGTCGATTTCCTTTTGATTTAAAAATTAATTATGGCCATTATTTATTATGACTTTTTTTAGACATCTTTATATATAATGAATTATATATTGATTTCTGTTTTTTAGGTTTTATTTTTTATTGTTATGATTGATTTTGGTTCTATGAGATCAGTAAAAGTCGAAGAAAGGGCCGGTCGTAAAAGAGAAAAACAACAGGCTTTAGACACTCATAAAAAATCAGGTAGGGGTATAAAAAAGCGTAGTATCTTGTAAAAATATTGCTAAGCTTATATTTTTTAAATCTCAATATATATGTAAAACTAATTTTAATCATTGTGATTAGTCAGCACTGTTTATATTGTACATTTTAAAAGTTAAGAGTTATTAAAGAAAAAAACTTAATTGTCTAATGAACAAAATTTTTCAGGCTCTTTGTCGATTTATGATCATGAGGATGGCAAGAAGTGTGGTGAAATGAAAAAGAGGAAAAAACAACTGTGCCCAGAAGGGTCGAGCAATAAAGGACATGAAGGATCGACCGATGTTGCTGACAAATCATCGAAACACCACAGCCAGGACAACTACGCCAAAGGATATAAAAAGAAGGACCGAAAGAAAAAAACCGGCTTTACCAAGGTGTGTTTTGTTATTGATACACTTGTTTTCTACAGTCGTCCATTGAGTTTTCCAAGAATGAGGCAAGTTTTATGGATGGCCGGTCGAGATGAAAATTACTTAAACTGTTCCCATTTTTCGGATGGACGGCGAAGCGTCCGTTTTAATGGACGGATTAAGATTCAGTGTGCAACGTAAATTTTTTTTCAATCTATTAATCTTTAATATTTCTATTTAGGGTTTCGATGACATATACCACCTCGACGAAAAGAAGACAAAAAACAATGTCTGGAGCGGTTCTGAAAGCGTAGGAAAATACATGAAGTTTGGAAAGAAAAAAAAGTCCAAAAAAGCCAAAAGAAGAAAAGCGGTGCGATTTCTTTTTAAATTATTTGTTTTATTATTTTAGATATATCAAAAATATTTTTTCCTTTATTTCAGATCAGAAAAATAACGAAGATCGATCAAGATTATCCAGGAGATCAATTCGTTGAAATAACATGGCACAGCTAATTTGATTAATTTTTTTCTCATAATTTTGTTATGTCAAAAAATCAAAATTTGGTCCTGTAGAATACAAAAACGTTGCCAATTTAGAAATTATAAGTGTAAAAGAGCTTAGTGTTAATTACTTAACAATGTTGATTTTATCCATGTTACATTTTTTGTATTGTTAGAATAAATAATTAAGAAAAAATATTTAGTTTTTTAAAAGGTAAAGGAAGAAATTCTTATCTCTAATGTTTTAAGCCGAAAACAGCTAATGTAGGGTTAATGGTAGCATTAATTAGAAACAAGACTGCTTGCCAGCTTTAGTTACCTTTTCGGTTATTTAATGTAATGAAAGATTAAAAAAAATTAAGCAACACACCCTTATTTCATTAACACTTTTTCAACAGCTGCACGAATCCAGTTAAAATTAGACTCATTGTTAACCCAATAACAACAAACAAAGCCTGTGTATTGAGACAATATAACAAGGTTGTTAAAATAAAAACACTCGAGTAATAATAATGATGGAGTATTTTTGAACTGCTGGTTCATAATGAACTATAACGATGTTGAACTCTGAAAATTTCACGCTTCAATCTTCTTTAGAACCTACTTGAACATTCATTTTATGGAGGAGCATTAAACATTAAAAAAGATGCTTTGTAGATAAATATTATAAACTTGAACGAATGTAATTTTAACAAGGAATGTATATTTTAACGATAAATTATTTTAGATTTTGATATATGATTAAATAACTGTATATCACTAAAAAATCGAAACACAAATAAATAATAAAAATCGGAACGGTTCATCAATTATATCTATCTCTATACCCACGGATTCATTTGAAAATAAATAGTTTTTTACATTTTATTTATAAAAAAACGTGTAATAAAATTAGAAGGTGAATGAAAAGTGACGTTGAATTATTAAAAATAAAAGGCTAATTATGTTTGGCTTATTATTTTGCTTGCCTTTTTCTTTTGTTTCATTATTTGTAAGAATATTAATATATTTTATTGAGGGTTTTTCCTGAGATATACATTTATTGTTGTATACCGGTAATCAAAAGCGGTTGATTACTTATAAATATTGAACTTAAGCTTAAATTGAAGTTGTAGTCTAAACGGAATCAAAATGGTACTTGAGTATGATGATGTGGAATACAGTCGAATTTTAAGTCCTTCTTTGTTCTATTTGTCAAGTCAAGTAACTTTTTTTCTTAAGCTATTTAAATTCTTTTTGTGTATCATTGTATTCTTACTTTAATAATGCAGTGAACTTCAAACAATACAGAATTTAATAATGCTCTGCTTACAATCATTCTTGAGTATTTTCATGTATTCAGAGAGGGGTTGTAGTATAAAGTTTGTAATGTACATTTACACGAGTTGGTTCGTGATGGTCTGGCAATAAATGTTGGCTAAAGTTCAGAAAGTAGTAAGTACAGGGCGTTCTGGTCAACCCAGATTTGATAGACTGCAAAAACTTTCTTCTGCATTGCAATCTTTGAGATTTCACCCCAATTTAAAAAAATTGAATCTTGAACTTTTTCAGGTTCTATATTTTTTGATCAGCTAAGAAGTCTGAATTATCCAAAGCAAAAGTTAGTGTTTTGCTTTTATGATGTAAGTATCCATATAAAATTTTTCATAATTATTTTACCGTTTTTACTTTTGTTTAGTTCAAAAACCACCCTTTTTTTCTTTAGGATATCTTAACTCAATACATCTATATATTATGATTTCAAGATAAACTGATTAAATTAATATAAAAGCATATACTAATATAATAAAAAAAATGTTTAGGAAAATGATATATTTACTATTTTAAAAGAAAATCACCGAGAAAATCCTATCTTATCATAAGTTATCTTTCTTTCTTGCTTCAAAACGTACGAGGAAAAGTACAATGTAATGTCTTTTAACGTTTATTATGGTAACGTAAATTAGATAATCTTTATGTATGGTATTTTGGTTGAGATAAAAAAGTCAGTGTCACGAGCGGGATTCGAACCTTCGAATAAATCTCGGAATCTACTTCCCCTCTCAACCCCACCTTTTAAATTTTCCCTCCTTTTTGACATTTTTCAAATGTTGTGTAATCTATTTGATTCTTGGCGACAAATGAAATGGCCACGGAGAGCTTTAGTGAAGTACACTTCATTTTAACTGATTAAATTCTCTAGTTTTTGTGGCCAGCTTGACCAATTAATATCTTTCAATTAATTAAGGTTTTTACATTTGAAAAATGGCAAAAGGGAGGGAAAATTCAAAAGGTGGGGTTGAGATGGGAAGTTAGTGTCCGAGTGGATCGAGGTCACTATAGTTCAAGTGGAAGTCCAGCGGCGTATCTAGCCGAAGGCCGTGGGTTCGAATCCCGCTCCTGACATTGACTTTTTATCTCAACTAAAAACCTTAATTAATTGAATTATATTTATTGTAGTGCTGTAAACCGGTAATCAAAAGCGATTTTTAAGTTATAAATATTTAAAGTAAGGGGGAAAAGGTTTCTATTTTAATATTCACGAAATGCTTTCTCTACAATTCCAAACTGTATCAAAATGAGAAAAATAACAGTTCAATTATTAAAGTTGTACACATATAATATATTATTATAAATTAAAACAGTTTGTGCGTAGAACAATTTTTTTTTCAATAACTACAAGAAAAGGTTTACTGTTAGGTTCTTTGTTCTTTATTTGTATATCTATAGGAAAACAAGATTTTGTAAAATTTAAAATTTTTTATTTAACTATTTATTACTATTGAGCTATATATTTAAATTCTGCTCACGCAACCGTCTATTTCATTAATTTTCAAGTTATTATTGGGTTATTTATAAGTACAAGGAAAGTTTTTAAAATTAGGTTCTTACTGTCATGTACCAATACTACGACAAAGAAAAAATAATTTATACGAATTAAAAATATCTCTTGAACAGACAATGGAATACATAAAGCCGTTTTTTATTTGAAA